GAGAAAACTCGTGGGTTGAGATAAAGACAGTTTAATGGGTAAAGCAAAAGCCGCCCACGCAGGCAAAGCAAAACAAGGAATTCATTCACTCCTTCCCATTGGCAGGCAGGTGTTCAGCCATCTCCAAGAAAGCAGGGCTCCATCACACGTGATCGTCACTTGGGAAGACAAAGGACATCACTCCAAATGTCCTCCCCTTCCTTCTTCTTCCCCCCAGCTTTATATGCTGAGCATGACGTCATATGGTGTGAAATATCATAGAATCATAGAATAGTTTGGGTTGGGAGTGACCTCTAAAGGCCATCTAGTCCAACCCCCCTGCTGTGGGCAGGGACATCTTCAACTCGATCAGGTTGCTCAGAGCCCCGTCCAGCCTGACCTGGAATGTTTCCAGGGACGGGGCATCCACCACCTCTCTGGGCAACCTGGGCCAGTGTCTCACCACCCTCAGCATAAAAAATTTCTTCCTTACATCCAGTCTAAATCTACCCCCCTTTAGTTTAAAGCCATTCCCCCTTGTCCTGTTGCAACAGGCCCTGCTAAAAAGTTTGCTGCCATCTTTTTTATAAGCCCCCTTTAAGTACTGACAGGCTGCAATAAGGTCTCCCTGAAGCCTTCTCTTCTCCAGGCTAAACAACCCCAACTCTCTCAGCCTTTCTCCATAGCAGAGGTGTTCCATCCCCCTGATCATTTTCGTGACCCTCCTCTGGACCCGCTCCAACAGCTCTGTGTCTTTCTCATGCTGAGGACCCCAGAGCTGGAGGCAGTGCTGCAGGGGGGGTCTCACCAGAGCAGAGCAGAGGGGCAGAATCCCCGCCCTCGACCTGCTGGCCACGCTGCTTTTGATGCAGCCCAGGATACCATTGGCCTTCTGGGCTGTGAGCACACATTGCCGGCTCATGTCCAGCTTTTCATCCACCAATACCCCTAAGTCCTTCTTGGCAGGGCTGCTCTCCATCCCTTCATCCCTCCAGCCTGTATTGATACTGGGGGTTGCCCCGACCCAGGTGCAGGACCTTGCACTTGGCCTTGTTCAACCTCATGAGGTTCACATGGGCCCATTTCTCGAGCTTGTCCCGGTCCCTCTGGATGGCATCCCGTCCCTCTGGTGTGTCAACCACACCACTCAGCTTGGTGTCCTCTTCAAACTTGCTGAGGGTGCGCTCGATCCCACTGTCTATGTCATTGATGAAGATATTAAACACGCTCAGCACCTGCTCCCAGATATCTTGGTCCTCATCCTGTAGATGAGTGGGTTGAGCATGGGAGGCACCAGCAGGTAGAGGTCGGCCATAAGGATGTGGAGGTCCACAGGGGTCCTCTGGCCCCAGTGCTGAGTATAGAAGGAGAAGAGCCCAGGCGTGTAGAAGAGCAGTGTGACACCGATGTGGGAGCCACAGGTTCCAAAGGACTTCAGATGAGCGTCTCTGGAGGACAGACCTATGACCTCCCTCAGGATCAGCATGTAGGAGACAGTGATGAGGGCTGAGTCTGAGCCCACCATGACAGTGGCAGCCATGATCCTGTAGATGCTGTTGGGCTGGGTGTCCCCACAGGCCAGCTTCACCACTGATGTGCTCGCAGTAGGAGTGGTGAATGACATGGGGGCAGCAGTAGGACAAGTTGGTCACCATGCATGTCAGAGGGGTGATGATGGCGATGCCACGCACCACAGCAGCCAAACCCAGCTTGGCAATGGTGGGGCCAGTCAGGATGGCAGAGTAGCACAGAGGCTTGTAGACGGCCAAGTATCGGTCAAAGGCCATGGTGAGCAGAACCCCTGACTCCACTGTGGAGAAGCTCTGGATGAAGAACATCTGGGCCACACAGCCCTCAAAGTCGATCTCGTGGGAGCAGAACCAGAAGATGCTCAGGAGCTTGGGCGTGGTGGAAGTGGTGAGCACGAGGTCAATGGCAGCCAGCATGAACAGTAAGTAAAACATGGGCAGTGCAGGCTTGGGTCCATCCTAATCACTAGAAGGCATGGGATGTTCCCCAGCACTGCCGTGAAGTACATGGTGCAGAATGGGAAGTCAATCCAGAACTGAGCATCCTCCAGCCCAGGGATGCCTGTTAGGATGAAGGATGAGGGACTGGAATGATTTGGGTAGGACATGAGGCACTGCTGCAGAGCTGGCAGGTAAGCCACAGGAACAGCTGGTATAGACAGGGAGAAGAAAGAGCTGTAGCAAGCACTGCTATGGACTCCAGCCACTTCTGAGGCACACAGACCTGTCATCATATCCTCCTGCCTCTTATCCAGGTACACTCAGTCGCATCATTGGCAAGACGCAAACACACATGGTCTTAGCCCGCATATATGGGAGTTATCTTACCTCTCCTCCCATCCTGGGCTGGCCTCTGGCTGTAGTCCCCATCCCTCCGCTCCATAGTTTGGGAGTTACAAACTAGAAGTTGAGTACATTTAGTTGCCATCAGTTCAAAAATCTAAGATGGGAGAAGGGGGAAGATCCAGAACACTTTGAGGGTGCAGCCCATCAGGACTCTGCAGGTCACCCACACACCTCTGCAGTTGTAAACCATATTCTCTCCTGGGCTGGTGTGCCCCATCTGATTCCCACCTTGGGAAACTGCAGCAGATGTATATTTGCAACATCAGTGTTTGTTGCCCAGAACTTTTTTGCTGTGAGAGCTGATGCCCGTGGAAGCAGTGCACTGACCCCGTGCGTCCCCCAGCTGCGTGCCCTGCTTCAGGCCAGCACTGTCAGCTGTGGGGCTGTCCCTGCTGGAGCCCAAATCCAAACCACCCTGCTGGAGTCCCTCTCTGAATGGGCATCCCACCTACAGGGTCCCTGTCTCCTGCATTAGGAAAGAAAACCATTGTCATGGCCAAAACTGTCCTGAGGCTGCAGTGTTAGTCCCTTCCAGCGCTAACCCTCCCACGGTGCGTGTACCTCCTTACCCTCAAGCCCTTGCCAAAAGAAAGAAGTGCTGTGAATTGTCCCTGTTTTACCAGGAGAACAGAGACACAGAAGGGTTAAATTAGCCTGCTGGCAGTATGGGAATCAGATGAAAGTTTCTCAGGCGCTTGTACCCTCTGTTTTCCCCAACATAGCAAAGGGCCAGACTTCATCTCCTTGGCTTTCCAGACATTTGACTTCCTTGACCCCTAAATAGTTTCATGCCTCCTCCAAACCGCTTCGAGTCCTCCACATGACACAAACCAACAGGCATTTCAGTCTGTTTCTAGTCATTGCTATTTGCAATGTAAGGCCAAATACTGCAAAGCAAATATTGTGAAAATGCTGCCAAGACAATGTTATTTATAATAGTTTATTGCAAAGAGGACTCTGTTTGCAGTGTAGTCAGCTACCTTGGCTATAAATTCAGGGAGGCAGAGCCACAGCTGGCACAAGCCGGTCCAGCAGGAAATGTGTCTCATGCCAGAATTATTTATCTGGAAAGGGCAAACACATCTGAGATCCTCTAATCCTGTGCTTGGAAAAAAAGCAGATACTGCCTCCTCTCTGTCAGAGGTAATTGATCTACAAACCCCACGTACTGTTCTGGGCAGTGTCACCTGTACTTCATCTTCTATAATAAAGCTATTCAGATTATTAAATAATGATATTCAGCAAGCATCAGACTCAGTTTTTACTGGGTCCTTTTCATGTATGTTCACAGTGCTGTGCCGGTTCTGTTCCCTTAGCAGGGTCTGATTTCTTGGGTACACATAAACACATGAAATACCAAGGAAGCAAACTCTGTAGCTCAGTCTCTCTGACCAGCCCATTTGGGTCATGCAAAGATGCTGTCCCCACTGCACTTCAGTTTCATCCACGTTACACCTGACCTCTACATTTCATGCATCCTCCTCTTGACGTGCCCCGGAGCCACGGCGCCAGTGTGCCAGCAATCAAAGGTGCCTCCAGACCCTGAACACACACACGGCGACAGGCGTCTAGTGCCACGTCCCAGCCCTGCACAGAGCGTAACACCTGGAGGAGCTCTTCCTTCATCTCACCAACTCTAACCCAGCCTTGCATGGACCTCTCGCTTCTACCACTAACCCCCAAGAATGACTGCAGTTGCAGCCTACATAAAAATGCCATGTTAGGAAGATCATAGAATCACAGAATCATTAAGGTTGGAAGAGACCTCCAAGATCATTGAGTCCAACCGTCGACCCAACACCACCATGCCCACTAAACCATGTCCCTCAGCGTCTCATCCACATGTCTTTTAAATACCTCCAGGGATGGGGACTCAACCACTTCCCTGGGCAGCCTGTCCCAATGTTTAACCACTCTTTCAGTAAAGACATTTTTCCTCACGTCCAATCTAAACCTCCCCTGGCCCAACTTGAGGCCGTTTCCTCTCATCCTATTGCTTGTTACTTGGGAGAAGAGACCGACCCCCCCCTCGCTACAGCCTCCTTTCAGGTGGTTGTAGAGAGCCATGAGGTCTCCCCTCAGCCTCCTTTTCTCCAGGCTGAACAACCCCAGCTCCCTCAGCCGCTCCTCAGCAGACTTGTTCTCCAGACCCCTCACCAGCCTCGTTGCCCTTCTCTGGACACGCTCCAGCCCCTCGACGTCCTTCTTGGAGTGAGGGGCCCAAAACTGAACACAGTATTCGAGGTGCGGCCTCACCAGTGCCGAGTACAGGGGCACGATCACTGCCCTGCTCCTGCTGGCCACACCATTTCTGATACAGGCCAGGATGCCGTTGGCCTTCTTGGCCGCCTGGGCACACTGCCGGCTCATGTTCAGCCGGCTGTCGACCAGCACCCCCAGGTCCTTTTCTGACAGGCAGCTTTCCAGCCACTATACTGTGGTATACCAGATACTGTGATTTTGGCTATTTTTGAGTTGTACATGCCACAGCAGGGATGGGAGCAGCACTTTCAGACTTGCTGCTGCTCAAGTGGAGCAGCGCTTTCAGGCCTGTTGACACACTTCTGAGCGTTTTCTTTGTGCTTCATTGGCATGAAAAGCTGATAGAATTTCATTTTGTGCAATTAAGTGATTCAGTAACTTGTAAAGTGACAAGTTTTGCTCATTGCAGTAGTCAAAATCCAGAAGATTTCCTAGAAATGGGGGACATTACCAGGCATCTTGACCTAGCTTGCTGTACCCCATTAGATTTGTTGCAAACTTATTGTACTTTAAACAGTGAAACAGATTAAAATACCCTCAGAGAATGAGCTGCTCGGTATTGAACAAAGTGCAAAAGGAGTTGAAATCTTTGATTGCTAGCATACTGGCAAAGCTTCCCTGACTTTGTAAGGAAGGAATAGGTCCTGGTACTTGAAGTTGAGATTTTAACTCTTTCCTCACACATTTTTGTCAGCTCTGCCTCTCTGCTGCTAAGCAATAATCAATAAATTTACCAGTTTTGATGCACTTAATATTTTGTGTCATTCTTAGACATTGCAAATCTACCAGCCATGCAGTCTGAGCCTGTAAAAAATATGTAGCCAACTCCTTTTGCAACCACATGCTGATCTGACTGTGCTAACAGCCACCCAGCACTCCTGATCAGAGTACAGCCTGTCATGAAACAAAGATGCCTTGAATTTTGGGTTTTAAGAGAGCTAGAGTAATGACCCAGTCCATACCCCTTCCCCAGTATAAGATCAAAAGTAATCTCTGATAGATACATGCACGACCTGATCTCCCATTGCAGAAACTCTATACTTTCCCCAAATCACCCGTTTCAGAGCATTTTCCTAGTGTCAAGCCTATATCTCACTGGAGGTCGTGACTTTTGTCCTTTCCATAAAGGAGAAGAACAAATTATTACCTTCCTTGTGGTGTTTGCCATCCTCTTCAGGTTGGCGCAAGCAAAAAGGACAGGACTAGAGCTATGATCAGGTAATTGCAGGTCTTCACAGATGACTGGGTTAGCGGGTGTTACACCTATGTGTCTACAGCTTGTTTGAAGTTCATTTAACCAAGGAAGAGCTTGCAGCCAAATAATTAGCAATGTTGTAATTAACCTATGCAAGGAAGCAAGCTGAGGTTGCAGGTGTATGACTGGCAGTTCTCTACCACAATATTCACTTAACGTGGGATATCTAGAAGTAATGAAGTAGCTCATTAACTCAATAAGAGACAAAGTCCACTTAGATATATTGGCATATCTGCATAGTAGCTTTTCTGGATAGATTGTCTTATGTTCCACCTCGATTTGACTAAAATTTGAACTTGGCTCAGAGATTGGCACTATGCTTAAAAATACTGGCATAACACCAGATTAAATGAAAAAAAACCCATCTACCCAGCTCACCTGGATGACTTGGATGTGACCCTGGCTGTACCTACATCACCTTCAAATACTCTTTCTCTCTCACACAACCAAGCAACTCCTCAACCTGCCAAAAGGACCTGCATGGAAATATTTATATGCCTTGAGGAACCTGATCACCCTGATCACTCACTGCTGGGACTTCAGAGACACTAGTCGTCACAGAGGAGAAACTGCTGCCTGGGAATAGTCGGGAATAGTCAGGAATAGCAACGGTTTGTAAATTCACTCCTCTTTCCTGCTGCATGGGTTATGTCTGTCTCAGCATTAAGCAGTGCCAGACAGATCTTTGGTCCACAGAGGAGGAAGTTTTTATCTCTGGGTGGGCAAATATACCTCTGGGCATGACTAGCTGCTCTCCTGGTACACACACAATGGTGCATGTGTCCTTCAGGCTTAACCCTGTCAGTGTAAAACTCGTTTTGGATTTGGATCCAGCGTCACTGCACTCCTTCTGGGGCACAAGATAGCAGCCTGGATTCTTCGGGCTGTATTTTAATGTCACCTTTCATCTGAGGATCCTGAAGCATTCATGAACTTTAGTGAATGCTTTGTAAATGAGTGCTGATCCTTTGGACCTGATTTAGGTATTCCTTGTCCTTGCAGTCTCTGAGGGTGGAGGTCATGTATGAACCACAGATGATAAGTATGGTATTTAGGGAGAGGGGTGCTGGGGAAGGAGGGCAGGAAGCCATTCAGATAATCACCACATCTGGGATCAATGTCAGTTTTTCAGCTGTTTCAGTCTGGCAACTAAAACATGACACAAAGAACAATGACTTATGGGCGTGCTGGCCCCTTGGGCTACTGGTCCTTCAAAAGAAAGCAACCAAAACTAGTAGAAATCTG